TTTCTTCCTTATCACTCTGTATTTACAGGATTTCATTGTCCACTCTGTTCAAATGTGGATGAATGGCTACACATAGATGTGTCCAGAACTGTGTGAGATCTCTACCATCCTGCTTTTGTGGGGATGGGTAGGGGTGTTAAATAATATTTTTTTTGTTTTGTTTTGTTTTTTCCCCCATAGGTTTTTAACATTCTAAAAGCTCTTTATTCCAAAGATACTACAAGCTAGTCAGTGTATTCAGTAGGTGTAATGTATTGTAAGTTGCATCAAAGGTATTGAAAGTATTACATACAACAATAATAAAACAGTGCATTGACACAAAAAAGGAAATGCACTTTTGGTACTTAAGTACTTTTAAAAGCAAGTACTTCTGTAATTTTACTTAAGTAAAAATCTGTCTTTACAACTTTTACTTGTAATGGAGTAATATTTGACCAGCAGTACCTGTACTTTCACTCAAGTAATGGAGTTGTGTACTTTGTCCGCCTCTGGTGAATATTCAAAATATATTTTTTTCAATGACCACAAAATATGTAATTGTTTCAGGTTTTGTGTTACTACATCAAGTTTACACACATGGGTCAAAAATGACCCATCTATGTAAGCTTGATAGAACAAAAGAATAAAGATTTTCTTTTTTTAAATAATTATTTTAGTAGTTATTTAGTTCAACACATTTAACACTTGAAATGTTTATTTGCCACTTTGTCACATATAACATACACATATCAATGATAACCGATAATACTGAAATTGTCTTCAACTGTAGTGAATTATAGTGAATGTGACTGAATAAAAGAAAATGAAGTGAAGTTGTAGGCCAGGGATGGTCAGCGTCGGTCCTGAAGTGCCACAGTCCTGCATAGTTTTGCTCCAACCTTGATAAAAGTTTAGTACCTAAATATGATCAAAGATCAGGGTAGTGATACAAAAAAGTTTTTATTAAAAAAGTAAGAAAGGAAAAATGAAAATAAGGATTTATGATGATCAAAAACAAGTTAATTGAGGAATTCCTGGAATACTGAA